TTCCTGACTGAGACCGTAACTTTTGCAGATGACAGGAATTCAGAGTGTCTGGCTCTGCCACCTGCTATCCTCACCAGTCTGGCTTTTGCATGCTGTCTTCAAAGGGGTCTGAACCTGGCTTCCAGTGAGTGGCTGCCTCTTACACCAATACCATCCTCTTTGGAGCCATGTTACATACCTGAGATGGGTACTAACCCAGGCCTGGTTCCAGCAAGCTAGTTCCTATTAGCTTTTCTAATGCCTTCTGCTAAAACCGAGTATATTGCCTCAAGTCTCCTCATCCCAAAGGAAAAGGGTAGGCTACCTGTCTCCACTCCCTGGGTGCACTCTCCACTAATGTCAGGAAAATCCGTAGCTTCAGGTGCACATGGGCACGTAGCAGCATCAGTGCTGACAGTGCTTTGTGGCCAGGTGAGCCCTCTTTGCTGTCAGTGGGGTTCATGGCCATGTGTTTCAGAATCAGGGTCATTGTGATCATCAGGCTGTTGTAAGTGCACAGCTTCAGCAGGGTAACAGCAAAAGGAGCAGAAAAAAAGACGTGAAGAAGCATCAAAGAGATGCTGGCTTCCACCTGCAAGAAGCACTGTTCTTTCACCTTGATTTAAGATCCTCCTCAGGGTAACCTGGGACTTTTATTTTCTCCTGAGAGAATTTCTGTAATCTGGGTTCACAGCAAGAGGAAGCAAGCATCCTCATGCAGGGCCTTGCTCCTCAGGTGCTTCCCAAGTCTGCTCTGCTTTCTGCCAGCCCCCAGCACATACCCTTGGCAAGATCCTGGGCTTAGTCTTTAAAGTGTTAGTGAATAATTTATCAGCTACATCAGGATCTGTATGAATCTGTTTTTGGTCCTCTGAGATTACTCTGTACATATGGGGCACTGTTAACTGAACGAGGCCAAAGACTCAGCTTGTAGCTGCAAGACATAAAGCATCTCTAGCTGGAAGATTTAGCTTTCGGATCACTTGATGGCTGAGGCAAGAGAGAAATGTTTGGCTGAGAGGTTATAACCTGCAGAATTGCAAGATGTCCTCTGTGTACCCTAAAACCTTGCTAATTGATTCTTCCAAATCTTCCATTCTTCCAAAGCTTCACATCCTTGGTTTCCTGGTCCAAAACTCACTGTTTCATTTCTTGCATAAAGAAGTGCTTTGTTCATAATAAGCAGAGGTTTATTTATAAGGCTGGGCTCAAGGTGTGCCTCTGTCAGAACGCAGATCATCGGGATCAGCCTAAGCTCCTGTTCTGTATTACCTCTCCTCACATTGATCCTGCCACAGCACCTTCTCTGTGGGTGAGCCAGCTAATATCGACTTATTTTTTCCCTCTCCATTTGGCATATGTTCCTTCTTCTCTTTCTCAAGCAGCTTCAGCCCCTAACTCACTCTTCTCCAGCCTGTCATCTGCTATATTACTCATTTGTACACATAGTGCAGCTTAATCATAGTAATATATCATGCCTGTGTGTGTGTTTCCCCCTCTGTGTGTATTTGCTAGATAACTGTGAGTTGAAGAGCAGTTTGGAAGACTGAAAATTGTTGGTAGACCACAGAAAATAATCTGACAGAAAGAAAACATCTTTCCTTTATCCAGCTGGCAGCTTGTGATCTCTCAAAACAAAGTTTATTGTTAATTTATGTCCACAATAGAGGAAAATGTAGAGTTCTAAGATACATTAAAAAGTTAAAAATACGTATATCCATGTATTAGATAGAGTCTGATCACAAACTGAAAGACAGAAGTACAGAAGTTAAGCATTAACTGAAAGTGACTTTGTTTTTCAGCCAGTTTACTGTGGATCAGCTCTGAAAAAAGCCAAAGGATATCTTTAAAAAAACTCCACCATACTTGTCACTTCATTTTTTGTTGTTGTTGAGCAGAATAACAAAATGGCAAATATTAATTTATTGTTCAGTAATTTATAAAATAATTTCCATAAATCCTTTGAACCACACTAAGATATCTGAAGATGTTGCATACAGATTATAAAGCCAGATGTTTAAATGACTGAGTCTTTCCCTCTTAGTAGTAGTATTATATTTTAGGACATTTAAACATTTATTTTATTGGCCCACTCTACAGAGTACCATATTCTGGACAACCTAAAGAGTTCATACTTTCATAGCAGAATATTCAGGAATATTTTAAGTCCTTTCAGCTCCAGTTGACAAAAGGGCATGAGCAGGAACCTGTGTTCCAGATTGCCAGCTTTGTTCCTCCATTTTAAACTAGATTTCACAGGCACTTAAATCTTGTTAAAGTTTTGCATCCTCCTACACACCTACTTTGGAGGAAGTCTTAAAGCACCTCTGTCTCCAAAGGGTGGAGGAGGTTCAACTCTTCTTTCCAACACTATGTGGGAAATCCCATGTTTCCACTGGTGAATGAGATGTAATCCCTTTCTTTGTGAAGACTTGATCTCTGTGTAGTGTTCTCTGAGCATGAAGTATCTGAGCATGGTACAGAGGCCACCACCCCCTTCCTTTGAAACACAAAGGGTAGGAAAGGTTCTCCCTTAATTTGTAGTTTGGTCACTTCTCCAGAATGGGGGAGATTTGAGTACGAACTTCAGCTCTTGATTTGCTAGGTTGAAGAAACAGTGGGTTAACTTTGTGGGATGACTCTGAGATGTGCTTCATGACTGGAGAAAATAAAACACTTCTTGCTTTTCTGTTTTCTTTTGCATGTTGAGGAGGCTTCCTGATCAGCCTTCTGCATTTTGTGGGTCTGTTTGGAGGTTTACATGCAACATGTGTTGTATGTGGAAAGAACAATGTCCAGCTGAAGGCTGTCAGGGCCAGGTGCTGAAATTGTGGTGTGAATCTAAATGCTTTGCACTCATTATATGAATCACGGCCTCAACTTCTAAATGAAAAATTAGTAGGTGTGCTGTGATTACAGTGTAAACATGGTTAGGCAGGATAAGCATATAGAGTTTTGAATATTAAATACCAGAAGAACAAAAGGAACTGCTTTTGTGAAATTACCCGGATCCAAGTTTCCTCATTAGACCATTCCCTCTGCCATAGAAACCTTTGCTGCTTGTCCCAATGAATGAGATTAATCTTCTAAAACCTGTAGCATGCTACCTGCAGCTTTGCAACACTACAAATAAATAAATAAATAAACCTACCACATAGTTCCTGGTTTCAAACTTTGCAGGTTCAGAGTTCACTAAGAAGTCATCTTTCTTTTTCCTTTAAAAGAAGGCAACCATATAGAATAATAGAGTTCTCTGTCTAGCATACAATCCCATCTGGAAAGAATTTAGTCTGCAATAATTGTGGGCATTTGATTTAGCTTTAAGTCCCTGTAGGTAATTCAAATGTAAATTTATTGGGGTGAGTGTATCCCCAAACCGCCACTGGATCCAATGTTTTAGAGATGAATTTGGCCCACTGCACTAAAACTAGAGCCTGCATTGTTTCTGTTGCATCAGAATATTATTACACGCTGTAATATCTGTCATTATAAGCAAACCTTTACTAGAAATACAGTCGATAGAAACAATACAGACAATTGACTGAATCCCGTTTCTTTTCAGACCTTTATAGATCAGTAATTCTTTGGTTATGAATATGTTTACAGACTGGTATCTCAGACAACACTGGTCTAATTATTCTGTTATTCTGTAGTCAGCTGAAATAGTCTTTTGGTTAAGCAAAATTCTTTGCATTTCACATTCTGCTTCAGGAAGAAGAAGTTTCAAGAGGCATTCAGCACATAATGTAAACAATGCCATCTGTCTTTTTCTTTGTAAAATCTTCTTTGAGATAGCCCCAATATGCCTACTGTTTTCAATCACTTAAAAGGCAGTAATTCAATTATATCATCCTCTATGTAGGAACTGCCATTGCTTTCAGCCCACTTCCAATCCTGACACAAGTAAATCACTTTGATAAGATCCTCTTTTTATTTATTTTTTTTCTGAGGAGACTAGCATAAGTAATGATGCCAGTGATAGACCAAGGACAAAATGACCATAATGGGCTTTCTGTAGGAAAGGAAAACATGTGCCACTGTGATTTATCATGTTACTTGGGAAATGTTTTTCCTTGGAATTTCTGTAACAGCCATGCTTTCTGGGCAAAGGGTATTAGCCAGTATGAATGGCCAAATGGTAAATTCAGATAAAACCTTCACGGACCACCAGATTTAAACAGCTATTACTACTTAGATTTCTTAAAAGGGAACAGAAGGTCAAAGCCATTTTGGAAATGTGCCTCAGTAATATTCATCTTTGGTGTAATGCCACCTACTTACACGGAAACACGCTGGGAATGTGTAAGGTTGGATCTTCCTTACAAGCTGCTGTGGCTTATCATGCAGATATGCCTTTCTTCTATTTAAAAATTGATTGGGTGACTTCTGTGCTTTGTACCACCAGCAAAGCAGGGGCCTGGCAGACACGTCTACCCTCCCAGAATAGACGTGGCACAAGATCAATAGTATCTGTAGACTTCCTGCTGCAAACTGGCCTCAGCTCTGATGCTGAGAGAGGATGGTTAGAGCTGAGCCGTCTCTGGACACATCTATCTCTTGCCCCCAATTTCAGAAAAATGGAAGAGCACCAGATGAGGTGGTCAAGTGTGTCATGAAAGCTTGTTTAAAAAGAGCTGGAGCACAGGTGTCTCTTTGAACTGAGACTGATCATTCAGCACAAATAATCCCAGAGCTTGTGTTTTCAAATGTGTGAGGAGTGCTGGTGTTATATTCATTGTCTGAGACCACATCAAGAAAAAGCAGTGGGTAGTTCACTGTATTTTGCTGAAGAAGTAGTGCCACACAGGTAAGAGGTGATCAGCAATGTTATCACACTGCAGGCCAAGTTCAGCATTTCCAGTGACATGCTATGAAGTAACATTTTTTTAAGTAGTTTTGGAGAGTCTGTGAGAGAAAGCTGTGATTTGACAGGGAAAAGGCACCATGTTAATTGTATTTAATCTAATGAATTAAAAGGCTGTTTGGGATGTTACTGATATGGCAGGTTGTTTCTTTCACAGAGAAAGTGTGGAGAGCCTTATCCAAAAGCATTCCTATGCCCGATCTCCCATTCGAACCTATGGAGGAGAAGATGATCTCGGAGATGACAGCCAGGCAACACAAAGCAGAGGTAGGAATACATGCTCGTGAGGTGAACTGTGATGGCCTAGTTAGGCTTGAGAAAAGGAGGACCACAGTCCGTACTGTGGTACTCCAAAGCATTTCTCTGGTGTGTCTCTCTGCCATTAACTCCTATAACGAAGAAGTAGACTTGTCATCTTCCGGCTCTTCTGGACATCTGATGTGCCCATTGCACTGGTGTGGGTGGCTTGTTCAGGAGGCAGCTCTAGGGATGCCTATACTGCCTTTGCCATTGGAAGAGAACTACCTCTGCTTCCCCTTCAAGATGGCTGAAAAACAGGCAACTTATTTACGGTTGTGCTGAGAACTAGCCAATTCACCTTATACCCTGGCAGGACTTAACAAGCTGGGGCTCAGTGCTGTTTGTAAAGTATCATGTAGATGTGCCATTTGCAGCTCCTCCAGCCTAATGCAAACAGAGGACTTGTTTCTAACCATTTTCTACCAGCCTGTGGTTAACCTACTTTGCCTCTACAGGAAGAAAGGCCTATAGCTCCCTGGAAAATTCATGTTTAGTTGTTATCTCTTAGCCCCTGAAAGGTGCTTTTCCTGCTG